ATTAGTTTTGTTGATCTGAGAACAGCACCAACACGACGACATCAGATCATGTTGGAAGCTATGCCTAGTAAAATGAAGCCTCTTTAGAAAAGTAGACAAAGTAGCTTGATCGCATGTTTGAAAGTTCAAAGTGCAGATAGAAGTTAAATTTCACGAGTGTTGCACTAACAGTGAGATATGAATGGCTTTTAAAGCGTCAGAATCAAGCTTGTTTTTCTCTTTGTAGAATCAGCTATCAGGAAACTTACTAAGGAAGTTCAAAAACAGCAACGGCTGGCAGAAGCTCTGGGTTGTCTTCACCAACTTCAGCCTGTTTTTCTACAAGTCTCACCAGGTAAGGAGCACACGTTCTCAAAGTCCTGTTGTTTGACTGTGAGGATGGTGGTGCGCTCCCTCGACTGGTCTTGAAAGCATCACATCTCGGTGTGAAATATCGAATCTGTGTGCCGTATTTGAGGTAAATGCGTTTTCCCATGCAGTATTTCATACTGTGAATTTAAAGAAAAATAATGCCACTCCTAAACTTTATAAAAACTAACACAACCTCTGTGTATTAAAGGCTCGTGAAGTTAGCACAAATTATGTGGAAGACCAAAATTTATGGAACAGTTGCAAGCAAATTAAATGTGCTGCACATGTTTGAGTTGAAAAGACTTGTAAAATATGCTGTCAATGCTCTGCAATGGAGACTTGTGCACCTTCCAGTAAAGGTGAAAGACAGCAGTGGAGCTTTTCCATTACTATCCCTCAGCGTTGTGTCGTTGATCGGGTATTGTCGTTACCCTGCCGGGCGGGCGGGTGACAACACGTAGGACTTTCAAATTGATACCATAGGTGTGTCTGCTAAAACTCTCGGAGGAATAATTTGATAAGGATGTTGCTAGGACTTTCAAATTGATACCATAGGTGTGTCTGCTAAAACTCTCGGAGGAATAATTTGATAAGGATGTTGCTAGGATTTTAAAATTGATACCATAGGTGTGTCTGCTGAAACTCTCAGAGGAATTCAACCCCAGTGACCTCAACCTCAAGGTTAGAGGTCAAGATTTCTGAAAATCTTGTGAATGCAATAATTTGATAAGGATGTTGCTAGGTATTTAAAATTGAAACCATAGATCTATCTACTGGCTGCTGCTAGAATGTTTTATTCCAGAAAGCAGCCGAGAAAATAATTTAAAAATATCTCATGTGGACGGCTTCGGTGATACCTGAGGGCGGGCTGTAGCAGCCAGGCATCGAACTATAAATGCATGTAACCGAACCAAAAATTCACAAAGAATAAGATGCAACAATTAAAATAGTATAACTACATAAAGCTAAGTAGGAGCAAGCCTGAACAGGTGGTTCTTAAGTTTTGGGTTCCACAATTTGCGGGGCCACAACCTCAAAACCACAGTCCCCCTTTATCTTTATAAACAGATTTATAGAAAGCACTTAGGTGTAGAAAAAAGTGCTTGTGTGAATGGGTGGATGAGACATCAGACACATGTTTTCTGCTCAAGTAGAGCAGACAAGCACTACAGAAGGACCAGCCCATTTAACAGACCATACAAGCGAATGAAGATGCCAAAACCACACTTACACCAAAGCTAAAGCTGCAGTAGTTCAGAAACTAGAACACTCGATTCACCCAAGTTTAGACTAGCTGTCAAATCTGTTTGCTTTACACGAACAGCCATGTGCTTCTCGGATCTTTACAAAATGTGCACTTTCAGCAAAAAGGGTATAAAAAACAAAAAGTATAGCATTGTTTTTGATACTAAATAATGAAATGCCAGGCCCACGTGGATTTAAAGCAGAGTTCTATAAAAATCTAAGCTTTTCCTTTGTGTATATGATTAATTACTCATTTGTTCTTCAGTATTTTCTCACAGCAAGCCTCATTGGATCCCTCTGGGAAACCACCAGAGGGATGACATGATTGCATTATTATGGAAGGGATTGTGTCATATTTTGCCCCATCTACATTTTTGATGTCTGTTACTCAGTCTGGTGATTCCTTTTGAAATTATTTACAGGATATAATCCAAATTATTTAAATCACTTTTGTTTTCCTCCCTCTCTAGGATGATTACCCATTGGCCAGCCTTCCACTGCTCGGTTACTCAGTCACCGTCCCCTCTGAGTCCGAAAACATCCACAAGGACTATGTCTTCAAGCTGCATTTCAAGTCCCACGTCTACTACTTCCGATCAGAGAGTGAATACACATTCGAGAGGTACCAAATATGTCATCTTTTAAAAGTGTTCTTTCATCCTCGATGTTTCAAGGACTGATTAAAAAGCCCTTTCTCTGCCCTTTAGGTGGATGGAGGTCATCCGCAGCGCTACTGTCCCCTCAAGTCGAGCTCGTGGTCTGAACGGCAAAGAGACCCGCGCTTAATGAGTTGGCTCACCTAGTTTCCATACCCTTTCTCCTTCGGGTGGCATCCGCCCGTCCTGTCCCACTCCGGACTCTTTGCTTTTCTTTTCTACGCATATCTGGGACATTTGTACATGTGTCCATGCACATTTGGTGCTTTTTAATGCTTTAATGGTGACATGTCCGCTGGTTTAGACTGCATCAGAGACTGCATTTTTGGCATTTTTACTCTCAACTCTGAAACCTCTTTTTAAGGATGTCATTTTATACTGTTTTCTAATGGTCTGAACCACTTCCTCTATTTCTGGTTTGACATGTTTGTCATCGGTTGTTTTTAAATGCAGGAACACATTGATACTAGATATTCAGTATTCTTTCTTAGATGGTTAAACTCTCACTGCATTGTCATAAACATTTTGTCTACGTGTTCATTCTACGGAAAACGGTCACCCTTTAACAGCTGATGCTCTGATCACACTTGGCCCAGCACAAAAAGAAGGAAATGAAATTATTTTGTCGTATTATTGACGTAAACCTCGACATTGTGGCCTGGGGTGGCTGCCATCACCACTGATGCCGTTTTAAGTGAAGTAAATGTTCTATTTGCTGAAATTTGTTGTATGATTCCAATCACAGAGTTTTGCTTTTTTATATATATATATGCATATATATAAATTAACTCTGAAGTTCCCATTCAGTTGTGTGAGAAAATGTGAGATGTGCTCATAATCGCTGCGTTATGATGGCGAGTGTAATTGAAAGCTTTAAGGATTATGTGCAAAACAAAACAGAAACTTTCAGTTCCAAGCGACGTTGCCCTCACAAAACTAGGCTGCCTCCCCATATAAACACAGATCTGTTTATGGGTCTGAATGAATGGAAATATGCATTTGACAGGGTTTTGCAGTGAAGTATATGAGATGGAAAACCTCAGTTCTGCCTAGAATTGCAGCGTTTTTTCCAGACAGCAGAGAGCTCTTTGGAAATGAAAGCAATAAAAAAAAAAAAACATACTCAAACTCGGATTGTTGCGAGGTCTGTGTATTTTTTCCTTAAAGTACAGAGGCAGGGGTGATTTTCAGTAGGTAAAAAGATGTGCAATTTATGGCTCTGTTGGCTGTGGCCTGCAGATGGCATCACTGACCAAGAAAGCTTTCTCAGTCAAGCCATCACTGCACAGTGTCCCTTCTGTCCTGTACTCTTTGAGGGGAGGATACACTGCTATCAGCAGTGACTCCCATCCAGGGCTAACAAATAACTACGGCACAGGGAGTTAGCCAAAGATTAGCTTAACTGTGACTGAGCGGACTTGAAGAGGTATGAACAGAAAAGTTAACAATGAAGTTAAAGTAATGTATAAGGCGTAGAAACTGACAGCAAAAATCAATACAGTTATTTTTAATGGTAAAATAGCTTACAAAACGAATGGCTAACGGTGTTAGCTAAATGGCAACTGCTGGAAGGTTTTGCTGTAATATTAGCAAACAAATGTAACTGGAAACCTGAAAGGACGTGAATAAGCAATTGAAGGATGGGATGAAATTACATTAATACATTTAGCTCTTTAGCTTAGCAATTCATAAACTGATAGCTAAAAGCTGAAATTGTTAGTTAAAGGTAAGACTTCACCGTTTAAATTGCTACATGGTAAATAAAGGTAGTGGACAATAGTTTTAAAAGGCCAATGGAGGTAAAGTGAAAGTTATTATACTTTCTATTTTTATTTCATTTTGAGTTTTTGTTTTGTTTTCATTTGGTTTGCTGGGGAGATTTGCTCATTAAACGGGTTTAAGGTAATGATTACTATACCAACACTTTGTGCAGGGAGTTAACTTACAAAAAAGCATATGCAACAAAGTCCCTGATCCTAAATGTGTTGACAAACTTGACCACATTGGCATAAACTAAACGTAAACACAATTTAAGGATTTTCATTTTAGTTTTATATAAGCACACAGTATATTTTAGTCAGCTTCTTTTAAAAGATGGTCTTTTTTCAGTTAAATAAAATATCATTTCCCGGTTTTAGTTATTACTTTACTTTTAGATAGATATAATAATTTGGGTAAAAAATTAAAATAAAAATAATCAGATGAAAAGTGCAGCTAGAAGGCTTCTATACAAGTACTTGGGAGTACTCTTTTTGTTTTTAACTCACAAGTAGTACATAAATTCAGTCTTTTATAGTGTGTCACTGAACCAGTTTAGTTATTTTCAGTATAATCTGTTTTTTGTAGTAGCTTTGGGAAAATGGCCTTTAAAACAGTACCGTTTGATACTGTTTTAAAGGCCAGTTTCCGGTGTCACAAAAGAGGAATGTTGTGATGACACTCCACAGGCTTGTTCGCCACGGTTGTGATTTTTGTGGTAATGGGGAAGCATTGATCCAGTCATTCATACTGTAACTTCACGCAGTCCAAAGTCCAGGCCCACCAGCTTACACACACACACACACACACAGACAGCAAGTGGGCAGGACTTCAAGCCGGTAAGAGGCGGAGTGCACAAGGGAGAAAACAGATTATACATCTCTTGCCTGGCGCTGGACGGCCAATGAAACGCTACTCAAGAGGATACTTTATTGTGTCAACAATACCCGATAAGAGAAGGCAGAGTTCCGGAGCGATGCGGCATGTGTTGATTTTCAAGAACGAAAACTGAATCGAGGAATGGGAGCGTCGTACCAGCGGCCACACCACAACATGACCCAACTTCAAACTCGTGGTGCGCACTAGCGGCGATCGAAGGCGCGGATAAGCCGATGATGAGTTTCCTGTAAACTGTTGATAAAACGCGTGGATTGGACGGTAATTGATCCCAAGGGACGCGTAGCGATGGCCACTCCGGTGCATCCGGAGACCAGGAAATTTACGCGGGGTCTGGGTAAACCTGGCACCGCTGCTGAACTCAGGCAAAGTGTCTCGGAGGTGGTGAGGACGTCGGTGCTGGTCGTAAGTACTCACCTTAACTCCCACTCTGCGCCACAGCGCTCACTGTCATCGGTGTCTATTAAAACTTTATGGAGCAAGGAGAGACCTGCTTTTTCTTACGCACACGTTTTAGGAGAAAATAACTGACTTCAGATCAGTTGAGCAGGACTACGCGTGCCTTTTAGGGTGATATAATTAAGGTTTAAGTATACCCCTGACACACTTGGAGTGATATGGGTAACAGGCTCCCACACAGCTTTGAACAATATTTGGTAGACTGTTGATTATAAATCATAATATATATTTAAAACAAACGTTTTCAGCTTCCTCCTGTTTGCATTTTACGCAAAACATTCGGAGCTCATAATGAATGCTGGCAATCTTTAAATCCTTCACTTTCATTCTCACCCTGTTGACCCCAGACCAGCTGAGTTAGAGCACGTGGGCATTATGAATGGGTGGGTGTGTGTGGCCAGGGTTTGTTTGGGTTTTTTTTTTATAAATGAATGAAGATATGTGTGACAGAAAAATGTAATCGGTCACTTCCATTTGGAATTTTTTTGAATGAAGTGCTGACTCAACGAGCTTTCCAGTTAAAGCAGATAGATTACCAGTCCAAATATACATTTAAAGACCAAGGGAAACATGATTATCACATATACATGAGAGCATAGAATGAATCAAAGGATCTCCCACTTAAATGTAGGACTGGAAATGAATGAAAGTGAAATAAAACAACAGCCACAAAAACAAAAATGTAGAGTAATGAAGTGATTTGTATTTATAGGTAGGTTTTGCATAATAGACAATAGGCGTTTGCAAGGTGTTCAACATTACAGAAGAATGTTGTCTTTATTAGGCTCAGGTATGTATGTCATTCCTTTCCTAGAGTCTGTAGAGAATCAGTGCACATTCAAAGTCCTGTGTGTCAATGAGGGCATCACTTCACAGAGCTGCACCGAGATGACATAATACGGCTTCACAAAGGAAAGCACGAGGCTCCAATTTCATGCTTAAGACACATATAAAGTGTCCAGTGACAGTGACAACATCTGGGTGACGAGGACCCGAAGCCTACCTGCTCGGTATCAGTTTTCCTCAGAGCTCAACTTGGATAAAGGAGTTGACCCTTTTGTTGTGTCCAGAGTGCGTTCGGTGTTTGGTGCTCCGTCTGATTGTTCCAGCTTTCCTGGAAAAAAAAAAAAAAAAAGCTGCTAGGCAACTGAAACGTACACCGTCCAGGCTTTCTGTCAGGGAAATGGAATCCTGAGTCACGATCCCAGACATCCAACCACACCTTCATATTATTTATTCATCCTCACTCTGGTGCACTGCCAGGGACGCCTAAGGGAGGAGAGGAGAAATGGATAGAAGAATGCGTGTTGGGAAATCAACATGCTCGAGGAAGACTGAAGTAACTTGTAGAAACTCTGCGGGGGAATTTGTTTTGCGGTTGCCCGAGACAACTTTAATATCATTTCAAAACTAGTACCTGCCATCTCTTAGACTCTAGCCCTTTGTATATGACCTTTTTAGACATGAATGCATGGCTGCAACTTGGAGTTCAAGTGTTTGCTGAAGCTTCTCAGTGGGATAAGAATGCGACTGCACACAAGACCACTGTCCACGCAGCTTGTAATTAATTCCTCCATAAAACATGTAAATACCACAGCAGGAATGGAGGGATCTGTTTTCAAGGACATAAAGGAAAGCTTGTGGTTGTTGTCACCCATCCTGCTTGAAGCCATAATGATGTTTTCACGCGTAAATGTTGCTGCATGTTTAAAAGCCTGGAAACATATTATAATGTACTGTAGAGGACTTGCATATCCACTGATTGTGGATGTTTGTTAGCTATGTTTTGGACTCAAGTGGGCAGTGGTGTATCTTTCACTAACAATTAGTGCACTTTCGTGCAGACAGACACTGTTATCCTGTTTGAGTGGAGACACACTTGCAGTACCCCGGAGCCCTCAGCTGAGCCCTCTGTTTCTTCACACTTTAGGCATGCTGAGGACGTCATTGGCTCCATGATTGCTGTCACCAACTTTATATTTATTTTAACTAGTACTGCGCTTTGATTCAAAATTGCCACATTGTCTTCGAGCTACGCAGAGCTAGAGTATAGTGTAGTTAACGTATTGGCTGATTAGTGTACCATAATTTCATGTCAAATTGATGGAAATGTTTAGTTAGTGTATACAGTGTACGAAGCAGCTTGGGGGGCAGTTGTGTAAGTGTAATCAATAGTCCCAACTGCCTGTCAGCTAATGGTGATATACTCAGATCCTCAGTGTTCCTGCTATGTGCCTGACCCGAGGGAGCTGTACACCAGATGGGTGTCATTATGTGGGAGTGATGCTATTAGCCATCTATGGCCAGTGTGTACGCAGCTCTGCAACCAGAGGGGAAAGTGGGGCTGTCATTTATGCTCTGCAAAGACGAGCATTAACATGTATAACTATCACCAGAATACACGTGTCGCTCTATAGAGTAGTGCTTTTTGAATTAAGCATAAGAGATTTTATCAGTCTTATCCCCAGTTGTAGAGAAGGTGTTGCCATTTTAAGGAGAACAACCATTTCAGCAATGCAGCACTCCCTCTTTCAAGTCAGCAACTTGGACAGTTTAGGTGCCCCTTAGGCTGTTTGGCAGGTAGACTGCTTTCCTGTCGTTTGAGATTCGTGTTTCTGTATAGTGGGAAAAGCAACATTTTTAGATTGTCTTTCCTTAAGGCAAACATTGCAAATAATAAGAACCTGCATAGAAGCTGCAGTGTTAAATGTCTTGATGATGGCATTGCTGACTCTCTTCCAACTGTGAATGAAAACTGTACAATAATCTGCTTTTGTCAGCCCTCTGGGCCGCACCTGCACACCTCTCCTCTTTAGCTTTTTTTAAAGAGTCTGTAAATTTTCCCAAGATGTGGAAATTCCAGAAATACCTCAGATGGGTGTGTTACTCTAAGTAGGGCTATTTTTCAAACAATACAAATGTGTCAGAGAATTTATTTCTCCCTGTTTGGATCTTTTGCCGTGAAAAAAAAACATGTTCTGTCATGCAGGGAAGCTGTATTTGTTAGCCATTCAGTTCGCCAAAAAATGTGCTTGAGCAGCTGGAACCACAATGAGATGAATTTAAGGTTAAAGCACCGCAATCATGAATCAACTCATTATCTGAGTTCATCAAATCAGTAGAAAAGAAAGTAATCAGTCTGCTATGTTTTGTCTCCTTGGAGCAGATGCTGGCTGTCACATAGGCTGTAGCACCGAGCCAGTCAGAAGATTACCGTGTTGTGTTGCGAGGCCTAAGCAGCTTGACCTGCCCGTGCAGTTCCTGCTCTGTCTACCTCTATAAGGAGCACTGGTATCAGAGTAAAAGTGCGCATAAGCTGCTTCTGCTGCCCCGTTGGTAAATGGTACCCTGCGAATGCAAAACCTGGGGGGTGAGATTGGAGAGCAGATGGGTCAATAATACATGAGACTGCTTTAGTAACCACTGCACCCATTAAGAGTCTCATTCCCATTTGCTCCAGATTAGACAAACTGAAAACTATGATGCTGTTTGGTGCCAAATTCCCCAATTCCTGTTGAACTTTAAAACACCTAAGAGTGTTTCTAGTTCATAAGAAGCAGAGATCCCTGTGCTGCCTCAGAGTTCAGACCATAGTGACATCTCTGAATCTTACTATAAAAATACTGCACAGTGAAGCTTCCTTCATGAAAGGCAGTTTTTGTTGAAACTGGAGAAGTGTTGATAGGTCTGCATGGGCATTATGAAACTTTAGCTTTTGCTATGGTCTTATTGGTGCAGGTCTTTTGGTTATCTTGCCACACCACCTACATTGCTTCAACAAAGGTGATTAATCATAGTGAGCCAGCTTTTGGTCTTAACTGAGCTTTGGCTAAAACCTGTATATACTTACTGTGTTTCGTGGATAAGCTAGTTTTGTATCATACATGTTTATGGAGTCAAATAACTGGATGACGCTTAAGTGGCTGAAAAACATTTTAAATATCCTGTCATCGGGCAAAAAAGATTTACTTATTTTTCTTGAGCACTTTAGCACCACAAATTTAAATGGGTTTAGACTTTTGAGCCATGTGACAGATTTTAAAATCGCAAAAAATTGAAAACTTGAATTTAAGAGTGGAACTAGACATGTTTAGTGATGGTAAAATTGCTTTTGGTGTTAATATTTTGTGCCTACCAGTTTAAATTATGTCATTGCTTAAAGTTATGCATAAAAGGTACGATAACTTTTAAGCTATTAAGCAACCCTGTCAAACTACTGGGCCCGTTTCTGGCTAGCAGCTGCATTTATTTATTATGTAAATACAGCATTGTTATGTATATGCAAAATGAAAAACACTGAATGATCTCATGTTCTTTGCAGAAAGTTTCCTTCTGTCATTGTTTTAATTTTGTCATCTGAAAGTCATTGGTTGTCCTCACTGGCTAAACACGTTTTGAAAATAGGCAGTGTGGCATTTTCTTTATATTTTTCAGATTTTCTGGGCATTTTATTTCTTGAATATCTTGGATACGGCTCTTTGAACTTAATCTGTGAAAGCAGAAACAAACAATCACCTACATTTTATTTTCTATAGTCATACTAAATGCACTAAAGAGTTTTAAGCTAACGTTCCAGGTGTGCTAATACAACTTTCTGTACAGTATCCATGCAGGATTCAAACCTCTACCAGAACCATTTATAGGCAGTGATGGATGACTTGTGGAATGGAGGCTTTTAAGAAAAGTGCAAAATAAAATAAAAAATAATAAAACACGCCCATCAGACTCATTGTGAAATTTGTCTGCCTGGATTTTGGCACGTCTCTTGGCAGTTGTGATTATAATCCAAACCAGATTTGCCACTCGGGGCTTTTGCAGTTAAGTGTGGGAAGCTTGAGAATTCCTCAACTGAGCATAGAAATTTTGGGGAGAATATAAAGCACTCAGTCAAAAAAATGTAAAGGATTTCCTCCATTCAGGCTAGGGCTACTCCGGTTAGTTCACAT